TAAATTTTAATATCGGCAAAATATACATTAATTGTGAAAATAAAATTAAAAAAAAATGCTAAACTATTGTACATCGATAGATTTAGAACAATACAATTGAAAATTAAAAAAAATATATATGTGCGTTGTGCAGCCAGTCATCGTTCATTTTTATACACAAGAAAAAGTTCTCCGTCCCTTCCGGTCTCCAGCATAATATTTAAATTACAAATCAATCGCTTAGAAACCTAGACGCGGCAAAAAACTGTACCCGGACCGGTCGTCTTGCCATTGACACGTATCGCCGTACGCCTTCTCCGGATCTTACACGCACCGCTTCCGACCGGGCAATCGCTAACCACTTTTATAACCATATAAAACGATAATACATGCGGACAGGTTGCTTGACCCAGTATTGGTATCGTGAAAACATCGCCTTCCAATCACCCGCTGTATCTAGCTTAGGATTAGTGAGTCGTACGAAAAATTGATACAATCTTTATTTGTCAATCGTTGGTTTACGTTTACATGCGGTCACAAGTCAGTTACAGTCTCTCACTATATTCCGCTCAGAGAGCATACAAAATAACATTAATTAATTTTAATAAATTGAAATTAAAGTGCATATAAATATTAGATATATATAACCATGTTGGCTGGGGCTAAGTCCTATGTTTGTGTGGGATTTATAACAATTAAGAATGTGCCAACTGTAGTATCACTAGCATGTCGTAAAAGGTATGATATTGGGTTTGTGATTATCTAAGCGATCGATCAGGTTACTTTTGTCAGAATTATCCATATAAACGGGGTCTGAGTAACTCCCTACTCTTTAGACTCTACCCACCCTCTCGGAGATTAAAGGCGTAAAGTTATATATGTATGTACATAATAGTAATCATTTGCTTGTCTTTGAAAATGTCTATCTACAATATTATAATGACATTTTCTAATAAGATATGTCCTTAATGTCTTCTTTAAAGTATCAGAATAATCAGTACCACTATTTCTTTTCGCAATTTATTCATAATTTTTAGTGCCATGCATACAAAACTATTAGCACGTTAATTTGTCTTAGATGGTACTAAAGAGAATTCTGATTTCGTGATCTGTATTGATTTTAGTAAGTAAGTAAGAATAGCAATTTTATATCTATATGGATGGTAGCGTAAGTATATTCACACGTAAAAGTGACGTTTATAAGACTCGGTCTAATATGTAAGAGTTATAATGTATGTATACATTATTTTTGTGCTCCGAATACAATATCTCGGTCAGTACATTACCCTAAAAAATAATGTCGTAGCGTAACGATGCGATATAGCCGTGATAAGCTGTTAAAACTGGTGCTTCACATAATATTTACGAAGCATGTGTAAAACGTATAAAATCTTTTGTGTTGTCAGAATTGCAATATCAGAATTGGATTTGTGACTTTGTTTACGATAATCCAAATAAGACATCATGGATTTTGTTTACATCTTCATACGCTAAAACTTTCCAATATTTGAGTTTGACGTCCACTCTGTCGGTATTCATATTTCATATTCACATCTCCACAATTGACAGGGATACTACTTAAAATGTATGTAATTGACTGACTTTTAGTTTTGATTGTTATTTGGTTATTGAATTTACAATATTTATTACTATGATAAAAACAAAACTAAAACCTTAAATTATCACCAGTCCTACTCTCCGCGGTATTGTGCTAGGAATGCTTCCTCGCTTTAGTGCCTTTATTTATAGACATACAAGACTTAGCCTTTGAGCAAGAAAAGAACTAAACCTCATAACACCAGCAGCGAAGACAAGTCGCAGATACAGTTCCTTTAATTCCATATTAAAAATCTGACATGTTATACATATTTATATACGGAATAATCCTTTTTATTAGAACTCAAAAAAAATATATTTAGATTTCTTTTCTAATTGTATAATTTTGTGTGCCATAGAGCAATGTGTATAAATTGTGTCTCATCTAATTTCCCACGTTCCATATTGTTACACATATAATGAAATTAAGCTGTTATATTTTGTTAGACATCAGATGTTTTTATTTATTTCATATTTATAGTTAACACTATCGTTTCTGATTTTCAGATACAATAATAGTAAGACAATAGCAATGGACTATATGTAGTGCAGGCGAAGCGAATGGGTTAAGATAAAAATATGATAAAGCTGACAATAATTTAATAAATAATTAATAATGTTTATTCTTAGTGTTTTATCAGCGATGGCAATTATTGAAATTTTAAAACAATTTGCTAGGTACATCAACTTTGATTATTTTATAAATAATTTATATATTTATTTCATTAGGCTCTCACAACAATGAGTACACTGTTACATACATATGGAATGACATCACAATTATTATAACTAAATATCCCATTATTTACAGGAGGGCACCACATGTATAAAAAAAAGAAACTAAGTTGATTTTACAACAGTACATAGGTACAATTTAACTGTAATAAAAAATTTATTTAAATTAATAATGAAGTAACTTCCTTTAGTACATAGCCTTAATCGCCGATAACAATTTTTTGATGCCAGCCATCGAGGTTGAGAATAATGCTTATTCATAATATTTTTATATTATGTTAATATTGTTAAATTAAATTAATAACTCCTGCATTGACCTCATGTTTATTCATAGTGTTTTATCATAGATAGGAACGCTATAGAAATTTTAAAACAATTTACTATATTAACTTTCTAACAGTTCGAAATAGAATTAAACGGTGTGGTGATGGTGTAACAGAGTCGATCGTCAATAATAATTAGCAACAGCATACATTAAAATAAAGTCCTCAGCTTTCATTTACCTTCATAGCTTCTCATAGATTAACGCGAAGTTTCTCTTTCCATTAGAGCAAACAATCGTAGTTGTGTTGGTTTTGTTGGGGGCCATTAAAAACCGTGTGGTTACGACATACGTCGCCCGGTTTCACACGCCCGTTGATAAGGAAGCTTGCTTTCCCCGAGTGTCTCGTTAATGATAATTACCCGATTCTGTGGCCATTGTTATTTGACGTTGTTTCTAGCTTGATTTTAAAGCTTCTGAAATCGTTGAAGAGTGCACAGTTAGTTAGTATTTTATCAACATCATCATTACAGCCCTTCACAAGTCAACTGATGAACATAGGACTCCCCCAAGGAATGCCACAAAGCACGTTCCTGAGCCTCCTGCATCCATCGGTTTCCTGCATGTCGCAATTTACTTTTATTTAATATTTACTTTAAGGATTTGTGAAAGTCTAATGATAAGTACCCGGTTCAACTGCCTTGATGATCTAGTCGTCGGAAAAGCAACTGTTGATCGTATTGCCCCGGTTTCTCTCTGGTCGGCAAAAATTCAGTTTTTGAGTTTACACCCCTCACTCGCATAGTCCTTTTGAACGATGATCCGACATAACCGAAGAGAGATCAGATGCAGGAGCAACGGCTTTACGTGCTTTCCGAGGCACATGGGTGCAACACCGCCAACTTAAGGCGTTTCTCTGACTAAATAACCTTGATCATGCAGTGCACTGCTGCCCGCACTCTGCGTACGCCCATTTATCATAGAATTCATACAATTTTTTGAATTAATTTTAATTAAAAAAGAAAAGCGAACTTTAAAAATTTAATAAAACGTGAATAATATGGATTTTTAAATTATCTATCCATTAGTGTAATCCTCAAACGATTAGACCGTTGCCTTTAGCAACAGATGCATGTAATCAATAGTTTTTAGTCATTTATTAAAAGTAGATTTTAAATGTATTTATAACACATAAAAACAAATTAGAACGTGGAATATGATGATAGGATATCGAACATTAATAATGTGCTTTTAGATGTAGTTTATTTCTCATAACTAATGAAATAATAGTCTCAGAATAAAGAAGAAAAACGCACTATCGCAAGGTTTTGGTCGGGGTATCGCCTTAATAAATTCGGGCGGCTACTGAAAATTTATTGACAGAAAAACATAATGACTGTTTTAGCCCCACCCATGATTCGAACCCGGGAGATTATGATCAGCAGTCGCGCGTACGACCCCGAGACCAACGAGGCTGGCTGTCACGTCACGTACGGAACTGCGTTTGATTCTTAATCGCTGACAGATGCCGTCTATGCATCCGCTTACCTTCAGATATTTTTATTTTCATCTTAAAAAAAAAACATTACCCCCACACTAGGATTTTCTCCTGTATCGTGGAGGCAGTTTACATACATAAATTGCACGAGGACAAACATCCAGACCCGGAACAATTATTTATAGGCCACACTAATATCTTGTTCGGTGCGGGATTCGAACCCGCGGCTTCAGCGCAACAACTCATTGCTGAGCCACTGCGCCACGGAGCCGTCAATATTATATTACTTTTATATATTATTATTTTATTACGATATTATATTTTGCTCGTTTGTCACACATTTGTTTATGTTGTATTTTATCCTACGAATAAATTGTATCTGAGGATCGGCCCTTACTAATATAAAAAAGTGTTTCATCATTATATATAGTTCAATATTAAAATTAATTTTAATTTAATATTTAGAAAGAAAGAAAGACATTTATTCACTGGAACTGTACACATCACAAAAATAAAAAATAAACAGTTAAATGTATGGTAGATTAAAATTACAAGAGATGGGGTGTGTATGGAGCCAGTGAAAAGGTGATGACTCAGCGTAATGCTGCAAGGTAACCTACAGCGCATTTACAATGTACAATGTACAAACTATTGCATGTTAAACATGCAATAGTTTGTACAACCTTTCTTATTGTATAATTTACTTTGAAAAGAAAGTCCCGCTGGGTTTTTAGATGGTTCCTCTCAGAACAGAGGCTTTTTTCCAAACCAGTGGTAAAAATAAAAGAATGACTTTCAATAAGAATTACATGTTATCTTATCTATATTCAATAATAAAATATTCTATTCTATGCAAACAAGAAGTTATATTAATGACTTCTTCGTGTGATTATAATATAAACATTAAAAATGTTAATCTGTTTGTTACAGAACTCGAGCGGCAGCGAGCCTAGGTCGCGTAGTGCGACCCCTGATTCGCTGGACTCGCTGCCCAGCGGTGGATCCGGCAGCCCACCCACAGAATGGGCCGACGCTGCCACACCGCCGGACTTTGTGTAAGTTAACACGTTCTCCGATTTTTTTTCTGTTTCTAGTATTTCGAACGGTAGCGTGGCAGAGCCATGCTACAGCGGTATAAGTAGTATAGTTGTAGTACGAATGGGTCGGCTCGACCGGGGAAGGACCACGCTCTCACAAAATACCAACGTATATATAAATAGCAGCTCAACACTGCTGTGTTTCGTATGGTGAGTGCAGTGCACCCGAGACCCTTTTTACTGGAAACGAGGCATTCCATCTTAGTCCTCACGGGTGACAACGCAGTTGCATTTAAATTCGTAAGTGAGGATAGATGTAGATGTCTATAGGCCACAGTAACCATTTACCATCAGGTAGACCGTGTGCTCGTTTGTTACCATTCTATACCATAATAAAATTCTTCTCTTTTTTTTATTAAAAAAATACTAGTAATGCTATTAAACATTATTAATATTCCCTTTAAATTCTTCTGGTAAGCTTAAAATGCTTGTGTTAGAAGTGGTTCACGACAGTAGTCGAATGGCGGATTCGAACCCACGACCTTTCGAGTTCACGCTCCGCGCTCTGCCATTAGGCTACTGACGCTTTTGAATATTTATTTTTAATAAATCATTACAACATCAAAAACTCAAGTACCTTATTTTTTTACTTGGTGCCTCGCCTCCTTTTCTGCTATTTCTGCCGTGCAGTGGCTTATTATGGTTGTAATGATAGTATAGCAGTGCTTGCACTGCCGTGTTTCGTTCTGAAATGTACACAGAGCCAGTATAATAACAAGCTGTCAGGTATTCCACATTAGTCATCAGAGGTGACGACGCATCTGTAGCCATCCTTGAACTTGGCTCCTGATGGCCATATGTTCGTTTGTCTCTTCAGTTTTATTTTAAAAAAAAACATGTGTGTATGACTTTTACGCTTAAATTAATTAAATCGTCGAGTTATGACCACTGGCGTAACTGAACAAAATGCAGATACGTTGTCACACCTGAGAATTAAAATAGAATGCTTCGTTTCCATAAAAAGGGTCACCGGTTCTTTACACTAACTGACACACAGCATTAAGCTGCTATTTCACGCTGGTATTTTGTGAGCGTGGTCCTTCCTCAGTCAACTCATTCGTGCTATAACCATAATATAGCTGAAGCAGTCAGTTTGACTGTCTCGTTGAGTTAGTGGTCGTAAATTAATTGCTGATCATGAGATCCCAGGTTCGAATCTCGGATCGGATCAAAATCATTGAGTTTATCTGTCAAGAAATTTTCAAAAGCAACCTGGAACCGGAAAGTTGGCGGCTGTTCCACCCCTATGCCTCGGAAAGCACATAAAGCCGTTGGATCTCTCTCCAGTCGTGTCGGATTACCTTTCCATCAGACTATGAGAGTGAGAGAATGAAGAGTGCACCTGTGCTTACACATACACTTGGGCCTATATTCCTGTCCAGCGCAGGTGGCTAGTTGAAATTCGGTCTGGATGACATTAATTATAGCTGAAGGGTGGCTCTGATAATTTTGTGGATCAGTGGTTACCAAGTGTCGTATTTCTTTTACATAATAAGGGTGACAAACGAGAACACAGTTCACCTGATGGAAATTAGATGCTGTGGTCCATAGACATATACATTTATCCTCGATTAATAATCACAATGCAGATGGGTTGTTACCCCTGAGGACTAAGATGGAATGCATCGTATCCAGTATAAAGGGTCATTAGGTTTTATACACTCGCCATATAAAACGCAGCGGCATTAAGCTGCTATTTTATTTTGGTATTCTGTGAGAACGTGGTCTCGGTCGAGCCGACTCATTCGTGCTACAACCACAGTATAGTTGCAGCGTGGCTCTAACACGTATTCTGTCACCTTGGCGATAGGTTCAAAGAGTGCATCTGTGCTTGTGCATACACATAGGCACTTTAAGCCTGTCCTGCATAGAAGTCTGCTGTTCAGACTGGCCGTCGTGACAGAAATGTTGTCTAAAATTGGAAAATCTGGAAATGTGACTCTACCACGTGCCTAATTATCATAATAACAGTAGCATGGCTCTGGCAACTTTTGGTCAAATACTCAAACGTTCCTCAATTTTAAGATGTCGTTAAGTCTTGTGGTGTCACGGTTACTTTGACTTAAAGGCTCGTATTAATAAAAGTTACTCAACGACGAACTCAAGTGCGTAATCATTTGATACGCCCTCATTACGATATCACCATCTCAAGATCGTTGCTAATTAATAAACACATAAAAACAGTATCTCAAAACACTGTACTTACGAGTACTGTTCTGTGACTTGCACTCAAGTACACACACTTGAGAGTTGAATTTCGTTTATTAATCAGTGTGGCACTCAGCTGATATCGTCAACCTAAACCGCATCTTAAGATATGTTTATTAATAAGATCATAACCTCAATATCGTACTCAAGTACGTGTACTTGAGCTGAGCAACGTTTATTAATACGGGCCGAAGTGATAGAGAAAAAAAAGAAAAAGAAAGAAAAGAGACAGCACGAGACTTAACGGCATCTTAAACCTGAGCAGCGTTTAAGTATTTTTGCGTTTGGGTATCAGTGTTTGCCAAATGTTGTGTTCTGTCCCCTCAGCGATAGGCTCGGAGGCGCGGCGCACGCGCCGCTTGGGCGCACGCCGTCCGCGCCGTCCGCGGCGCCGCGCCGCACGCGCCTCTCCCCGCGCCCCTCCCCGCCCGCACACTCGCCGCCGCGAGTGCACGACCTCTTCAAGCCAAACGACCTGCACTGGGCCGACATCGCCTCTAACACCGGTTAGTTCTTTTCGAAGTCAAAACTTCCTTAGAATCGTCGTGATTTGAAACTCGATGAAACGAAAACATCGATTTTCCACGACTGGACTAGAAGATCTCTTAGTGCACAAGAAGAATTCATCAAAACCGCCACTCATAGCAGGCGTCATCGTCCTCATCATTACAGTACATCACAAGTCCAATGCTGAACAAAGGCCTCCTCTGTAGAATTATTGTTGACAACCGCAGTTTTTTTTTCGGTCCTATTCTGTTCTCAGGAAGATGCTCCTGCCCATTTTCTAGCTCAGTTTTTCTCTGTTAGTTCTTACGACAGCCCCGGGTTGGTATGGGTTAGTGGATTCTCTATCTCTTGCGCTACCACTACACAGCAGGCGTATTAGATCATTATTTCACGCTACTCGCAATGCCATGCTAGGAAGCTTATTATCTGGCGTACACGAGATACCTTTTACGACACCTATGGAACGAAATATGGTAATTGGCTCTCTGACTCTTAACATCATATAACAGTCGTTTACCATCAGGTGGACAGCTGTCAGCTGTCGTTTAGTGATAGGCTGTTTACACGTTTAAACATTCCGGTACCTGTCATAAACATATATTAGTCGTTAGCCATAAAAATACTGGACTCTTCTTTTTTAACATAATGAATGCTTTATGCATGTGAAACCATCTCCTGTTTAATGAGATGTGAAAAAAATTAACACCGTGTAGTGGCGGTGTAAGAATATCCGTCCCGTGGGTGTCGTAATAGGCGACACAGGAAAACTAAAACAGGTGAAGGACAGCAGCATCCTTCTAATAATAACTAGAAAAAAAGGCGGTTACCAACCCGCCTGCCAAGTTTGGCAAAGTATGACAAAATCCCTTCTGCGAGGAAATCTATGGGGAGGCCTATGTTCAGCAGTGGACTTTAATATGATGTAATGGATGCATGAATGGGTGGAAAAATGAAAATCTAACGTTAAGACACATTTTTCACAGCTAACACTAAATTACTGTTTCAAGGTTTCAAAACAGCAAATATTTTGACATTATTTGTTTCAACTTTTCAGAGGGCATAGAGCTTCTGGGTTACCAAAGATATGGAACAGTTCAGGGACCAAGAATAGGAAAGGAACGAATCAACGGATCCATTCTCAAAGACAGTGACACTTTTATGTAAGTAAATTTTTTAGCTTAACCTGCTTTAGTTTATATGTGCTCTTAGGTCGAGCATATTTTCTGGGACTTGGTGTAAGAGCGAGTACATTGTCCCTTGAAGAAATTACTAACTCTTTGAATTCTATTAACTGGTATAAGTAGCTTGTGTTTGTTCCTACTTTACAGAATAGAAACAGAAACAGAAACTTTTTTATTCAATATAGGTTATAAATAACACTTATTGAAAGTCACTCTTTTGTTTAATTACCACTACTTCGAAAAAAAATCTCTGTACTGGGAAGAATCAGCAAGAAACCCAGCGGAACTTTTTTTTAAATAACAGCTTACAATCATGTATGTTACGTGAAGTGTCATCAGCAAGTAATTTATTATGGTTATCCCCTATTATGTAAGCTAAGTCATTAATATATACAAGAAACAGAAGAGGGTCGAGAATTGAGCCTTGAGGCACGCCCATTGGTCATAGCGACTCGGAAGAGCTCATACTATTAATGACAGCTTTTTGCGTTCTGTTACTTAAATATGAAACAATTAATTTAAGAGCATTACTTCCACCGTAGTTTTGTAGTTTCCTGATTAATGTTTCATGGTGAACACAATCGAAGACTTTGGATAGGTCACAAAATATAGCCAAAGCATCCTTTAAATTCTCCCAGGTATTGAAAATATATTTACTCTTTCAATCTAGAAAATAACTTCAATATTTTAATAGGACTATTATGATATGTTTCAAATTGTTGTTCATGGATGCTGTAAAGCACCCGAAACGACAAGCATTAAAAAGTTAAAATTAAACGTTCTCTTAAATCTGTAAAATTAGTTTCATGTAATGTGTATTCGCATAAATATAAGAAATCAAATATTATTGTATTTGTGTACATAAATTAAATTTTCATAAATATACTAGGAGGTCAAGATTAATAAAATAAATATATATATATATATATATATTAAGATAAGGAAAATTATGTTTACATTTCAACAATACAATTTATGGTAAAGATACGAGTATCAAAAAGAGATGATTAAAACAATGGAAATTTTGTTAATTTCAGCAACAAGCACGCAGCCGTGTCTCGTACTAAGAGCGCCGTGGCACAGCAGCCGCTGAGCTTCGAGCACAAGTTCAACCTCGACCGCCAAGTACTGCACCATGAGGAGGTGAACAAAACAATTTCAACTTGATAATACTTCGTCTAATTAATAATAAAAATAAAGCATTTCATTCCGATCTAATAACAACGAAAATAATAAGAAGCTTCAAATTACAAAATGTCTCTTAGTTCGGCGTGCCTAAGGCAAATGATTCTTCCAACGATTTCCATTGTTGCCTATCTTGAGCAACCCTTTTCCAATTTGGTCGTGCTGCAAGTTTTATTTAATTTTCCCACTTGTGTCTTGTGTGCCGTCTTCCTTCCTCGTGGTCTTTTGCCGTCCCTTGGGTACCATTCTGTTACTCTCTTGATCCGCTTCCCCACTTTGTCCCGCATCATATCTCCTGACCATCTTCACTTCGGTTGATCGATTTGTTTCAGTATGTCGGTAAGTTTTGTTATATTGCTTAAGTCAATATTTCTGATCTCATCCTGTCTTTTATAGCCGGTCATACTCCTTTCTATTGCTCTCTGTGCTGCTGCAAGTTTTTCTCTTAATGCCTTTGTGAGGGGTCCAGGTTTCATATCCATATGTTAGGCAAGATAATAGTCAAGTATTACATGTTTTTCTTTTTAATGACATGCTTAAGTCTTTGGAATTCACTATCTTTTTTAATGTATTTCCAGTATTTCTTCCAACCTGTTGCGATTCTGAGCTTAGTTTCTTTCGATTTTTGAATTTCTTCGTTTCGAAGATTACATATAATAAGTAATCAAGGTCAAGTAATTTCCATAGAAGATCAAATAACCTAGTCCAATTAGAACACAATGAATTTTTGTAGAGAATTTCAAAGACACTAAGGCAATACTCTCGGCATACCAAGTAAGAGGATATTGGTCTTGCGAAGATACGTTGTATCTCTGTGGATCTTCTATCGCATATACCAGTGCTTAGAGGAATTGTGATGATTAATTCCAGCTGCTGGATTCCATCATCGTACACTGCGACAGAACACGAAATTACATCCTCATCATCTCAATGGTTCACTACTGTGCGTTTTACGTGAAATTTTTTGCCACTTCACACTGGAATTTACTGTTGTTAGTGGCCTTTCCGGACTGATACTACTCATTTATTTATTTATTCTTTATTGCATTCCTTAATCTAAAAGAATATAAAGGTCGGACTTAATGCCTTGAGGCATTTTCTACCAGTCAACTCATAACATACACTTACGGACTTTCAATGGAAGAACCTTCTCATTTCTAAACGTCCGGCTACGCACCTGCAATCCCCATGGTGTTTCGGATAATCGTGGGCGACGGTTATCATTTACCATCAGGTTTTTTTTATTGAAGAGGGGGCAAATGAGCATGCGGCTCACCTGATAGTAAGTGACTACCGCCGACCATGATCAACCGCAACACTTGCTGTTACGGCCTACAGCTGCCCCTGCAAATGTCGAATCTCCCGGGGCCCATGAGCGTAAGATTCAACGAGCAGCCGCAGGTTCGAGCCCGAGTGGCTATATAGAAGAATTTCCTATAATACTAAGCTATATGGAAAATGTTTTATCCTACTGCAATTTAATGGGGAGGCTAGTCAAATAGAGAGGATTAAGACTTACCTGTATCTGAGGCGACGACTGCCTCAAGGTTCGGTCAGGCAGGAGGTGTGTATGTGTTGCGTGTATGGTGACGGTTTTTGTGGTGTGGATGTGATTGACCTGACTAGACCGTTGAGGCCGGCAGCTACCAGGACTCCGGCGCCGCTCCAAATTATGGTAATCTCCAGCAGCGTCACCCACGGTCAATTTCTTTCTTCTTCACTATGTCAGTCCATTAACTTTACCGTACAATTAACTAACTTCTCTAGTGTCACAAAGTTCAGCGTTCAACCGACAACCGAAAACGTATCCGAACTATATCCAATGCCGCACGAGCAAATTAATATTGTCAAATGCACTTATATACGCTATCAAATTAGAATAACCAAATTCGCGGTAAATTAAGCGCGCACAGCCCACAATTCAGACGTTGATCTCAATCAATATTAATTCTACATAATTAATCAAACCGGCGTCTATTTCTCTAGACTTAACAAAAAACCTCGTCGTGGCAACAATTTGCTAACAAAACCGACTCTAGAAAATGGAGGTTTCCCGGGCGACTTCACGACGTGCTCTCGACAGCACTATATTCGAGCAACTGTCTTTTGCGCTCGCGCCCTCTCGCCACAGCCACACCGCTCGCCCGAACTTCAAAACCGGTATGGCCCCGGGCCGAGCGCCCTCTGGCGTCAAATCCCGAAACCAGCGTTTGGGCGTGGACACTTGCAATTGCAGATATATCTAATATATAAAATTCTCGTGTCGCGGTGTTTGTTACCAAACTCCTCCGAAACGGCTGAACCGATTTGTATGACATTTTGTACACATATCGGGTAGTTCTGAGAATCGGCCAACATCTATTTTTCAAACCCCTAAATGATAAAGGTGACCCACCCCTAAATATATTTTTTATTTTTTGACAAAAAAAAATATTTTTATTTTATTATAATTTAGCATTGAAAAATATATAAAACTTGAAATTTTCACCCTTCTACGATCAATCCCTGATTTAAATTTTTAAAACTAAAAAATATTTCCTAGAAATAATGTATATGGCAAAACAGCTGGGTCAGCTAGTAAATGTATATAATCGTTTGCCACGTCTTTCATAAAAAAGGGAATAGACATATGAAGGTCTATGGGCTAGAGCTTCCACTTACTATCAAGTACACTGGGTACGTCCTCGTTAGTCACCCTAACTTCCAATAAAAAAAAAGAAAAACTTTGAAAATGCAGTGTAGGTTAACACAGACCCAATGGCAAGGGGTAATCTTACAGTTACAGCCTATTAAAGTCCACTGCTGAACATAGGCCTCCCCTATAGATTGCCTCATAGGGGGCATATTCGCCATAGTTGCCACGCTTGGCAAGCGGGTTGGCAACCGCAGTTTTTAATTTTTTGTCGTTATTAGGATAACGCCGCTGCCCATCTCCTGGTAATCTTACGTCTATTTAAAATGTATTTAAAGGAGTGGCCAGAAGAGGATAGCACCGTCGACATCGAGTCACTCAACGAACCAATGCTGAAGAAACTGCAGCCATTGCTCTGGCTGGAGCTGACAGCGCTCTTCGACCGCTACTCACTGCCTTTCCACAAGAGGAAACCGCCGAAAAAGAAAAGGAAAGAAGGTAGGGCTCATTATACGTGGTAGAGCTATGCAGCAGCTATATTATGATTGTAGTACGAATGGATCGGCTCGACCGGGGAACGCCCACGTTCTCACAGAATACCAGCATAAAATGGCAGATTAATGCTGCTATGTTTCGCATGGTGAGTGTAGAGACCCGGAAACTCTTTCTACTGGAAGTGAGGCATTCATCTTAGTCGACAGGGGTGACAACGTATTTTGATTTTTAATTGAAGATAAAATAAATATACATGTACGAGTATATGGGCCACAGCATCCACTTAAGGTGCTGCATAAGATGGACTGTTTGCTCGTTTGTCACCCTTATTCTATTAAAAAATAATGTGAATTCACCTTACAAATGACAGCTATGTGTACTCGCTCAAAACACATAATATTCTCAAAATTAGCAAAAATAACATTTAATAATATATCTTTTCCAGAGGGTTCAGTATTCGGTGTTTCACTAGAGACCCTTCTCCGCAAAGATATGATCCTATGGGAAGAGACGTGGAGTTCAGTACCGAGTATACTGCGCGCTATTTCTTCGGCGCTTCAAATGCGTTGCTCTGATGAAGGATTATTGCGTGTTCCCGGAAATAAAAATAAGGTACGTGATCGTTGGATAATCAAAATAATTAAACGTAAGTATAACGTTATTTGTCGCTTTGAATTCTTTTCCATTTAAAAGAAATTAAATATTCCTTTTTCAGTTTTATTTAAAAATGCTAAGTACTCCTGATTTTCAACCTTCATTTGATGCGTGGTAAAAATATATTAACTATTTTTCTTTATTAGGCATTCCTTTTTCAGTTTAAATTAAAAATGTTTATTAACCCTGATTTTCATCTTTCATTTGAATAAGCGTGGGAAAGGAATTTTGTTCAATGTTTCGTAAGCGCCCCTGCGAGCGACAATGTTGCCGGTGCTTTAACGGTGATTAAATCACAGAAAACAGAATAAAATTAGTATTTATCACGATGTTTATAAGAAAAGATAAGTTTCTCAAAATTAAGAGAGAAAGAAAAATTAAGAGAAGAGATTTTCGGCCCAGACTTAGGCCAAATGTATTTTAGTTAAATTATTAAGACCTATTGTAACCCTTATATCGCGAACGAATAAAATGAATTTGAAAATGTTTATTATTGCATGGTTGAACAGATCGAGGCGCTGTGCCAGTTGATCGAGCGCGAGTGGTACAGCGCGCGGGAGCAGGTGGAGGCGGCGCTGCAGCGCGCCACCGGGCACGACCTGGCCGCCGTGTTCAAGCGCCTGCTGCGCGCGCTGCCGCAGCCGCTGCTCACGCAGGAGCTCATGCGCCTCTTCTACCACACCTACGGTACGCCTACTGGCACCGCACCGCGCCACTTGCAGGTACAGCGCGCCACCGGGCACGACCTGGCCGCCGTGTTCAAGCGCCTGCTGCGCGCGCTGCCGCAGCCGCTGCTCACGCAGGAGCTCATGCGCCTCTTCTACCACACCTACGGTACGCCTACTGGCACCGCACCGCGCCACTTGCAGGTACAGCGCGCCACCGGGCACGACCTGGCCGCCGTGTTCAAGCGCCTGCTGCGCGCGCTGCCGCAGCCGCTGCTCACGCAGGAGCTCATGCGCCTCTTCTACCACACCTACGGTACGCCTACTGGCACCGCACCGCGCCACTTGCAGGTACAGCGCGCCACCGGGCACGACCTGGCCGCCGTGTTCAAGCGCCTGCTGCGCGCGCTGCCGCAGCCGCTGCTCACGCAGGAGCTCATGCGCCTCTTCTACCACACCTACGGTACGCCTACTGGCACCGCACCGCGCCACTTGCAGGTACAGCGCGCCACCGGGCACGACCTGGCCGCCGTGTTCAAGCGCCTGCTGCGCGCGCTGCCGCAGCCGCTGCTCACGCAGGAGCTCATGCGCCTCTTCTACCACACCTACGGTACGCCTACTGGCACCGCACCGCGCCACTTGCAGGTACAGCGCGCCACCGGGCACGACCTGGCCGCCGTGTTCAAGCGCCTGCTGCGCGCGCTGCCGCAGCCGCTGCTCACGCAGGAGCTCATGCGCCTCTTCTACCACACCTACGGTACGCCTACTGGCACCGCACCGCGCCACTTGCAGGTACAGCGCGCCACCGGGCACGACCTGGCCGCCGTGTTCAAGCGCCTGCTGCGCGCGCTGCCGCAGCCGCTGCTCACGCAGGAGCTCATGCGCCTCTTCTACCACACCTACGGTACGCCTACTGGCACCGCACCGCGCCACTTGCAGGTACAGCGCGCCACCGGGCACGACCTGGCCGCCGTGTTCAAGCGCCTGCTGCGCGCGCTGCCGCAGCCGCTGCTCACGCAGGAGCTCATGCGCCTCTTCTACCACACCTACGGTACGCCTACTGGCACCGCACCGCGCCACTTGCAGGTACAGCGCGCCACCGGGCACGACCTGGCCGCCGTGTTCAAGCGCCTGCTGCGCGCGCTGCCGCAGCCGCTGCTCACGCAGGAGCTCATGCGCCTCTTCTACCACACCTACGGTACGCCTACTGGCACCGCACCGCGCCACTTGCAGGTACAGCGCGCCACCGGGCACGACCTGGCCGCCGTGTTCAAGCGCCTGCTGCGCGCGCTGCCGCAGCCGCTGCTCACGCAGGAGCTCATGCGCCTCTTCTACCACACCTACGGTACGCCTACTGGCACCGCACCGCGCCACTTGCAGGTACAGCGCGCCACCGGGCACGACCTGGCCGCCGTGTTCAAGCGCCTGCTGCGCGCGCTGCCGCAGCCGCTGCTCACGCAGGAGCTCATGCGCCTCTTCTACCACACCTACGGTACGCCTACTGGCACCGCACCGCGCCACTTGCAGGTACAGCGCGCCACCGGGCACGACCTGGCCGCCGTGTTCAAGCGCCTGCTGCGCGCGCTGCCGCAGCCGCTGCTCACGCAGGAGCTCATGCGCCTCTTCTACCACACCTACGGTACGCCTACTGGCACCGCACCGCGCCACTTGCAGGTACAGCGCGCCACCGGGCACGACCTGGCCGCCGTGTTCAAGCGCCTGCTGCGCGCGCTGCCGCAGCCGCTGCTCACGCAGGAGCTCATGCGCCTCTTCTACCACACCTACGGTACGCCTACTGGCACCGCACCGCGCCACTTGCAGGTACAGCGCGCCACCGGGCACGACCTGGCCGCCGTGTTCAAGCGCCTGCTGCGCGCGCTGCCGCAGCCGCTGCTCACGCAGGAGCTCATGCGCCTCTTCTACCACACCTACGGTACGCCTACTGGCACCGCACCGCGCCACTTGCAGGTACAGCGCGCCACCGGGCACGACCTGGCCGCCGTGTTCAAGCGCCTGCTGCGCGCGCTGCCGCAGCCGCTGCTCACGCAGGAGCTCATGCGCCTCTTCTACCACACCTACGGTACGCCTACTGGCACCGCACCGCGCCACTTGCAGGTACAGCGCGCCACCGGGCACGACCTGGCCGCCGTGTTCAAGCGCCTGCTGCGCGCGCTGCCGCAGCCGCTGCTCACGCAGGAGCTCATGCGCCTCTTCTACCACACCTACGGTACGCCTACTGGCACCGCACCGCGCCACTTGCAGGTACAGCGCGCCACCGGGCACGACCTGGCCGCCGTGTTCAAGCGCCTGCTGCGCGCGCTGCCGCAGCCGCTGCTCACGCAGGAGCTCATGCGCCTCTTCTACCACACCTACGGTACGCCTACTGGCACCGCACCGCGCCACTTGCAGGTACAGCGCGCCACCGGGCACGACCTGGCCGCCGTGTTCAAGCGCCTGCTGCGCGCGCTGCCGCAGCCGCTGCTCACGCAGGAGCTCATGCGCCTCTTCTACCACACCTACGGTACGCCTACTGGCACCGCACCGCGCCACTTGCAGGTACAGCGCGCCACCGGGCACGACCTGGCCGCCGTGTTCAAGCGCCTGCTGCGCGCGCTGCCGCAGCCGCTGCTCACGCAGGAGCTCATGCGCCTCTTCTACCACACCTACGGTACGCCTACTGGCACCACACCGCGCCACTTGCAGGTACAGCGCGCCACCGGGCACGACCTGGCCGCCGTGTTCAAGCGCCTGCTGCGCGCGCTGCCGCAGCCGCTGCTCACGCAGGAGCTCATGCGCCTCTTCTACCACACCTACGGTACGCCTACTGGCACCGCACCGCGCCACTTGCAGGTACAGCGCGCCACCGGGCACGACCTGGCCGCCGTGTTCAAGCGCCTGCTGCGCGCGCTGCCGCAGCCGCTGCTCACGCAGGAGCTCATGCGCCTCTTCTACCACACCTACGGTACGCCTACTGGCACCGCACCGCGCCACTTGCAGGTACAGCGCGCCACCGGGCACGACCTGGCCGCCGTGTTCAAGCGCCTGCTGCGCGCGCTGCCGCAGCCGCTGCTCACGCAGGAGCTCATGCGCCTCTTCTACCACACCTACGGTACGCCTACTGGCACCGCACCGCGCCACTTGCAGGTACAGCGCGCCACCGGGCACGACCTGGCCGCCGTGTTCAAGCGCCTGCTGCGCGCGCTGCCGCAGCCGCTGCTCACGCAGGAGCTCATGCGCCTCTTCTACCACACCTACGGTACGCCTACTGGCACCGCACCGCGCCACTTGCAGGTACAGCGCGCCACCGGGCACGACCTGGCCGCCGTGTTCAAGCGCCTGCTGCGCGCGCTGCCGCAGCCGCTGCTCACGCAGGAGCTCATGCGCCTCTTCTACCACACCTACGGTACGCCTACTGGCACCGCACCGCGCCACTTGCAGGTACAGCGCGCCACCGGGCACGACCTGGCCGCCGTGTTCAAGCGCCTGCTGCGCGCGCTGCCGCAGCCGCTGCTCACGCAGGAGCTCATGCGCCTCTTCTACCACACCTACGGTACGCCTACTGGCACCGCACCGCGCCACTTGCAGGTACAGCGCGCCACCGGGCACGACCTGGCCGCCGTGTTCAAGCGCCTGCTGCGCGCGCTGCCGCAGCCGCTGCTCACGCAGGAGCTCATGCGCCTCTTCTACCACACCTACGGTACGCCTACTGGCACCGCACCGCGCCACTTGCAGGTACAGCGCGCCACCGGGCACGACCTGGCCGCCGTGTTCAAGCGCCTGCTGCGCGCGCTGCCGCAGCCGCTGCTCACGCAGGAGCTCATGCGCCTCTTCTACCACACCTACGGTACGCCTACTGGCACCGCACCGCGCCACTTGCAGGTACAGCGCGCCACCGGGCACGACCTGGCCGCCGTGTTCAAGCGCCTGCTGCGCGCGCTGCCGCAGCCGCTGCTCACGCAGGAGCTCATGCGCCTCTTCTACCACACCTACGGTACGCCTACTGGCACCGCACCGCGCCACTTGCAGGTACAGCGCGCCACCGGGCACGACCTGGCCGCCGTGTTCAAGCGCCTGCTGCGCGCGCTGCCGCAGCCGCTGCTCACGCAGGAGCTCATGCGCCTCTTCTACCACACCTACGGTACGCCTACTGGCACCGCACCGCGCCACTTGCAGGTACAGCGCGCCACCGGGCACGACCTGGCCGCCGTGTTCAAGCGCCTGCTGCGCGCGCTGCCGCAGCCGCTGCTCACGCAGGAGCTCATGCGCCTCTTCTACCACACCTACGGTACGCCTACTGGCACCGCACCGCGCCACTTGCAGGTACAGCGCGCCACCGGGCACGACCTGGCCGCCGTGTTCAAGCGCCTGCTGCGCGCGCTGCCGCAGCCGCTGCTCACGCAGGAGCTCATGCGCCTCTTCTACCACACCTACGGTACGCCTACTGGCACCGCACCGTGCCACACTGAAAATGCCTTGGCCTTTTTTACAGAATAAGGGTGATAAACGAGCACACTGTCCACCTGATGGTAAGTTTATATTTATCCCCGATTAAGAATCAAAATGCAAATGCATTGTCAACGTTGAAGACTAAGATGGAATGCCTCTTTTCCAGTAAAAGGGGTATCCGGTTCTCTACACTCACCATACGAAACACAGCAGCATAGAGTTGTTACATACATACATGCATACATACCTACTCCCTAAAGATTTTTAAGAATACTACTAGACCGGAAATTCAGAACACAAACTGTGTCGCAGATGTGGATCGCATGAGTGCCGCATAGCTGGCACGGTAAGTGTACCACACAGTCAAATAAAATATACACTACGCGAAAAGAAACTACACTTAAGCATGTCTGTACGTAAAATCGCTTGCGGCTATGTGTGGGTGTCTGGATGTGTGCGGGGGCCTTGAGAGGCGTGCGGAGCGTGGGACGGGCCATCGCCGACTGCAAGCACAGACTGACTGCGCTTTATACAATAATAATGCCTGTGCTTCCCTATGGATTTTCTAAAAAAAATATATATATAGGAAGTATAGTGGGTATAGTACAGAGACTGATTTTGTAGTTAGGAATAATGATTAATTCGTTTACACGAATTAATTATCCAACGAGTCGAGGATAAACTAGTAACGCAATACGACAAGCGCACCGTTCCACGTCAGAGCCAAGACTGGCTTAACGATGGCCGCTCCGTCCGTTTTATACAAGCAGGACGGGTGGCAACGCAGGTGCAATGCCGCAGGTGTGCGGTACACGTGTCGTTTACAAGAATTCTGTCTAGCTAGACGGACGCCACCGCACCTACAACGGTGCAGGTGCCGTCATATACATACGGCTAAGAATTTTTGCAATTGTTAGAAAGAAAAATAAAAATAATAAAAGTCATCGAAAAAGCCAAAAATATAAAAGATTAAGTAATTTTTAAAGGGTAGTAGGTAATATCGATTATTGCGTACTGAAATACTAAGTGTTGGTTAATTATTTAAGATTACCATTAACTGTCGTGCATATTTTGTTTTGTCGAAAATTTTAATATTCCCCATTTGTAAAGATATTTAATAAAAGTTGATTTAAAATTGATCGTATATTTCACTACCTAAATACATAAGTTTACATTATATAACATAGACCTACTATGTATCTTCTTTGGCACAACAGGTTACACGCTCCGGCTCAATGTCACCGGCGCTTGAACTCTCACGTGCAGAGGAGTGTCACCGCTGTGACACAGTTGAATTTTCATCTACGACAGTTATTGTCAAATGCAAATACGGAATAAAGTTACACTTCTTAAAGTTCTTTAAATATAGCTTGATTAGTATGACAGCTGTCATCAAAAGTGACGGCATATCTTTGTAGTAGCGTCCAACGTAACGAGTGATTTGATTAATATTGGAAAACGAAAAATTATTAATTTCTGGCGAATCAACAATATTTCTGATGACAGTTCTTCACTTAAAAACGTGCATAACACATAAATTCGTCTTTAAAATGAAACCGGTTAGTATTAATTCATTATCACAAAAATAAGCCTAATAATTTACTACCACCTTACAAGGTTACCCCAAGTTGCAAAAATGTTAGAGATGGGTCAAATCGACATATGTGAATTTATTAAATTAAAATAAATTTATTTAATTATTGTTTCAGAAATTTTCGTCAGTCACTTTTAAATTAATCACAAACTGGCGAGATTCGCTATTTAAAACAGTTTTTCTGGTTCTTTTTGGCATTTGGCAGTAACAAAACAAAAAACAATAACATAAGAGGAACAACAAATACTTAAAACAAAGAAATAAACGAAAACTGGGGAACACAAAGCGTATACAAGGCGTCTGGCGTCGGCACTCGTACATCGTACCACATCGTACTGACTAACGCTCAAACAAACAAAATGGCGGCTCAATATGCTCAGTATTACCAATATTAAAAAACGAAAGTATGATTATTATTTTTTTTAAAGGAAACATTTGTTCCTAAATAATAATTAAAATTAATTTAATTAAAAATAGCCATAAACACTTTTCGAAAGGCAAGCTATTATAGGCGTGTTTATAAATCATCAGATGCGTGAAGATCGACGGCCGACGGAAAGCGACCTCCCACGGTCTCCTCTAATATATCGAAAATAAATTTCAAATCACGTTGACAAAGCGCATCCATAAATAATTACAGCATTTTCTTAGTCATATCAAACAAAATCAGTGTTAGATTGGAGTAAACGATGTTCGCAAAGGACTAGTCTTCTCGTCCGCACTGTCAGCTAAAGGAGTTATATAGGACTGAGCGTAACTTAGTGTGTAATGTATTAAGGGCACAGAGCCCGTCTAGTAATATACATAGATGTCTTTATCTATTTTACCAATTTGGATTGCCGATTTCGCTCAGTGAAAAAGGGAATCATACAGAAAGCTATTATATCTACGTGCATGAAAATGTTTGGAATTCATGACGTTTTTACTGGTGCTATTTAGATAAGTCCTTCTAGTAGTATACATAGAAGTGTTATATAGATAAAACAAGTGCCCCGACGGGGAAAGGAGAATTGAGCGTGACTTAGTGCACAATGTACAAGCGCTGAGCCCGTTTAGTAGTATACAGAGGGCAGAGCCCGTGTTGGAGTATACATAGTAGTGGCTCTAGGGATTAAAGGGGTAGAGCCCGTGTATTAGTATACATAGAAGAGTATGATTTTTGTAATCTATATTGAATAAAAATGATTCTACTCTGTTTTCTTTGCATATTTTATCGCATCTATCACGGGGAGTGTTCAGAGGAATTGTTGGGACTAATTCCAGCTGCTCACTTTCACCATCGCACATCGCGACAAAACTCGCGATACCATTTATACCATCCCGATTATTGGCAGTCCACTACTGTGCGATTTACAAGAAGTTTTCTTCCTCGTACAATTTTCCAGACCGATAAGACTTAGAGATTTTCAAGAAAAGAGCCTACTCTTCTATTTTTAAAGCCTAGCAACGCATCTGCAATTCCTCTGGTGTTGCATATGTTCATGGGCGGCGGTAGTCACTTCCCATCAGGTGAGCAGCATGCTTGTTTGCCCTCACTTATAAATATATAAGTAACATTGTTTGTACGTATTAAGAGGGCAGAGCCCGTGTATACTCGTAGAAGTGTTAGCACGTATTAAGGGGACAGATGTTTGTATGTATTAAAGGCGCAGAGGTCGTGTAGTAGTATACACATAAGTCCTTGTCTAAACAAGGACTTCTGTGTATACTACTGTCATTGTAATATTGCGCAGCTGTGAGCGCATTATACATAGAAGTGTTAGTAAAGTGGTTGTGATATTGCGCAGCGGTGAGCGGCGGTGCGCAGGCGCGCGCGCTGAACCTGCTGGTGCTGCTGCTGCCGGGCGCGCAGCGCGCCTCGCTGCGCGCCGTGCTGCGCCTCGCGCGCGCCGTGGCTGCGCGCCGCCACCTCAACAAGATGGACGACCACAACGTCGCCATGATCATCGCGCCCGCACTCTTCCCGCCCAGGTACCACTGCACCACACACCACACATCACACTGAACTAAACTTTGTTTCAAGTGGAAACTTCTTTAGAACTGTTGTGAACTCGATGAAACAAGAAAGCGACACTAAAAAGAGACAAACATATTCTATAGAATTTACCTTCGAAAGAATGAAATAGAATTCAGTATACAATATTGTCGAAATGTATTACTTGGAGTCTGTTTAATATGTAATGTAATAGGTATATGCAGAATAAAATGTAAAATTATTTATAAACTTTGAGAAAATACTAGGTATAATAAATAAACTCTTTAATTATCTTACTACAGATAATGATTTTTTATATTTATGCGAATACTACTAACACATTAAATTAATATAATTAACGAAACCCAGCGAGACTTTAAAAAAAATATTAATTATTCAATTCAGACACCGCAAAACACCCAACACCAATAAAATCCGGCTCAAAGGACCAAAATTAATTTAGCAACTGGCCGGTTATTAAATGTATTGGTGTTTTAAATGTTGTTGTCTCTCTCTCTCTCTCTCTCTCTTTCTCACACTTCTCTATAAAAAATAAGATTAAGCGATCTTTATCACTTCATAGGCATCTCTTGCTGTACAAAGTATTTGCCTTGATCGCTTAAATAGGGCCAATGAACAATTCTAATACCGGATATCTGGCACCTTCGATGCTCCATGATCGGTCTGAATGTTGAAGACCAATTCCTAGACCCCTTTCCAAACACACGAAAGGAAATAGGTAATGAATTATTATACGCTGTCACTCTACTATATCTGTAAATATCCTAATATTTACAGATATAGTAGAGTGACGGCGTACAAGCACAAGTTAGTTATACCAATTACTCGACTTCAAAGAGCCAGTATTTCCTTCATGGGGCAATGTGTACGATTCTAAAACAAAGTCCCGGAAAATATGGCAAACCTCACCTATCAAAAAGTTTAAAATATTTACTAGTTTAGTAAGGGTTATTATGCTACCAAAAAATATGTGATTGATAATAACCCCTGGGAATGAGGTAGTTGCTACCAAGCCATTTCTAATGTCTTCATACTATTTGTATAAAGTAATATATTGTAAATTAATTCTGTTAAAAAATAAGACAGAGGTTTTTTCCGAACAAATGATAAAAGTAAAAAATGACTTTCAATAAGGTATTCTTGTTGTGTATTGAATAAAAATTATTCTATTCTATACGAAGAGTATTTGTTTTACCATAATTAAATATATTTTATTTCAGTCTTCTGATTAAGCCGACAGACAGTCTCGAAACTCAGCTTGCCACGGCGGCCAACAGCTGCCACGTGACTGAGGCACTCATGCGGTGGTCGGAAAGTTTGTGGCAGGTCCCCGCTTCCCTGCTAGCCGCAGCACAGCGTAAGCCACGTTCAAGGCATGTGCACACCTGACTTCAACACTCTGGACTAGTGAATCCGATCTAGTGAAATGTCGAGTGATGATACATAAAGGACCTTAAAGTGCTAACCAAACTATAGCTTCCTGTTTTACGTAATGTACTGGATCTTTGGTGCAATTGATTTAATAAAATATAGCTAGCTATGTATGTCAAACATTTAAAGTGCCTTGAAGTGTCGAAGCACGTCATATAGCTGGGGATACCTTGGAACTCTTATCACATAGGAGCTTAAGAGTAATACCAAATTGTATATATCATTACGCTGGTAACATTCAATTGACTGTAGCAACATTGTGTTATATTGAGATGTAACTTATGGAGTTTTGGCGGGAAATTGACCGGCGGCGGTTTGCTGCTCCTGTATTATTGTTTAAATAATGGTTTGAAGTGGACTTTGATATGTAAAAGTGTTGCGATTTTGTGTATTAAGTGTCTACGCATGTGAACTATTAGTGGAAACAGTGAAACAAGTGCTCTGATGGTGATGGATTCTCAAGATAAGCTGTTTGTTTGCATAGGCACCTTTAGATACCATCGCCAACTATCAGCTGTCTGCTGGATCAAGTTGCCGCCAAAATCTCCCAAGAACTGCACAATGTGACGCATCAACATATTGTGAAGCAGTATACTATGAAGGAGTGGGGAAATTACAATAAACCGAATAAAAATACTTAAGACTTGGCCTAAAGGTCTAGATACCAGGCCATAAACTTCAAAAAAAAAAAGATGTAACTTATAATTATTGATATTATAATATAAAAAGTAAAATAATCATCAAAGGAATTAATATAATCTCTATGTACAGTGTCTCTTTAGTGCTTGATCCTCCGGACTGGTACATTGGAAATTATGTCGGTTACTAGCTGATCTTTTTGCTTTCCCCTTTCCGGTAGGTGCCGTTATAAGTTTTACTCCTGACTTTTTATATCCTAAATATAAAATTTATAAACAACTTGACCACAGCGCCACCTATCGGGTTCAGATTTTGTGATTTTATGACCCTAAACCAACATATTATATTGTGGGTATGAGTAATTATGGACCGTAATTAAAGAATTTGTTAATTACTTGCTTAATAGCACAGCTATCAGCCACCGTCTCTAAGTCAAATTGTTCAGAAATGACTATTACACGATCACTAGTCGCACCTATGCTTATATATATAAAGGTGAAATTATTGAACATGAAAATATTAGAAACCAAACTTGACTGAGATATTAACTAGTTTTGTTCGAGCATAGAATACAATAAAAATTTCCTTAGCTTAAAAATGAAAATAGTTATTCAAGTGTGTGAAATAATATATTTTATGTTTACATCAGAGCTTAAATTCTATTTCATTAGTTAAGACCAACTAAGTTACTATTTTGATAAAACCAAAATAGCTACACACAACATGTAAAAATAGCTAATTTTCAACAAATGTTAATGATCTCTTACTGACAAAGGTTTCACTAGGAGTTGAGAACACATTCTGTATTTTAAAATGGGACCAAAATAAGGCTTAGAATTATAACTTATTGTGAATCAAAACAATAAATAAATAAGGAATCCTATGTCAATTGTTATGCATTAAAATTATAGTATTAATGATTTTTATTCAAATTAACAAGAATCTTACATATTATCTATTTTTACTAATGTAAATATAAAAATATGTAATTGAGTGAGGCTTTCTGAGGCCAGTAGCGAAAATAAATTATATCAATATGAAAGTAAATAAATAATGAACATAACTATAGCAAATCTTAAAAAGCAATATTATTAGTCAAAAATAGGTGGTAACTGTGCGCTTAACATATAAATTTTAAAGTTCATTTATCATTAGCTAACATTATTAATGTGTTTGTGTTAAGTGTGCTAATTGCAAAGGGTATTTAATTTTTATTGTCTTCCATTTTTGTTTTCACAAATGTTTTCTCATAATATGAACCTAATGTAAAATTGCACCCATTAAGTAAGTTCTAAGTTGTCTACACATTATACAGACCTATGGTTACCCGACTACGGCTACTGTATCAGTCTATGCCAACTATATTATGTACAGCTTCATCTATTTTAATTTTGTGGCCTGATTTTTAAATCTGAGCATATTAAATCTAAATGGGGAAAATAAATGACAAATTGTAGCAATATTGTTTGGCCGTAGTTGGGTTTAGTTTCTTAATCTTTATACTTGTTTAGTGTGCTGTTGATTCGTCAGCAAACATCAGTGAGTGATATAGTTAAATGTATTTAATTATAGCGAATAAATCATATACTCCGTGTTAATTATTAGTTAACGCATTTAGTGTGGTATATAAAAAGTGAACGAGATGCCAAATAATCATTTCTATTCTAATAAAGTGATATTATATTGAATATTATTCCAGTCTTCGAGGAGTCTGGTGTATTTCCTTTCTGTTTATAAAATTGACTTCTATCTTTTTGGAACTTGGTGCCATTTGAATTTGGTAGGTTTTTTTGAAAGTTACCATTTGGCGAAATCTTGTATTCATGGTTGTTAATTGGAGCCTTATGTCGAAATGATATTTTACTTAGGAATTTAATAGATCAGAATTCCGTTCGTTATGTAAATACTATTTTGTAGGGCGGACTATTGTAAAATATCTTACCAATGTGACTAGGCAAGTAAAGACTGACTTGGTGTATTTTAAGCTATGTATATTGATATTATTTCATAAGTATATTTACTTCCACTTTTAAATAAAATATACATGTATTTATACCAGTTTTTTATTTACCAACTGCATTAAGGCCAATGCTGATACAGAGTGATTATTAGTACCAGTAGTAGACATTAATCAAAAATCAACTTTAACCCCTTTAGTATAAAGCTGAAATTGGTGGAAAAAATACCATGGCGCTTTAGATGCACTAATGGGATGTTATTTCTTTACACCAATAGCAGCTGTATGCTTCTTTCATCGTCATTGTCATTGCAGCCTTCCTACTTTTAATTATTAACTATTAGTAGCAGTAGACATTAATCAAAAATCAACTTTAACCCCTTTAGTATAAAGCTGAAATTGGTGGAAAAAATACCATGGCGCTTTAGATGCACTAATGGGTTGTTATTTCTTTACACCAATAGCAGCTGTATGCTTCTTTCATCGTCATTGTCGTTGCAGCCTTCCTACTTTTAATTATTAATTATTAGTAGCAGTAGACATTAATCAAAAATCAACTTTAACCCCTTTAGTATAAAGCTGAAATTCGTGGAAAAAATACCATTTCGCTTTAGATCCATTAATAACAGTTGTATGTTTCTTTCATCGTCATTATCATTGCAGCCTTCCAATGTTAAACAAAGTCACTAAATATCCACTGTTAATCAAAGGCCTCATAAAGAATGTTTGCCATAGTTGCCATGCTTTTAATAGTTTGATTTGTTATCAAGAAGATACAGCTGCTCATCTCCTGCTTCTTTTCTTTTTGTCGCCTAATACGATACCCACGGAATGATATGGGGTAGTGCATTCGCTTTCGCCGCCACTAACAATGTGCTCCTATTTCGGTCACAGTGGCCTGTCTCAACGGAGACTAGCCATCTGCGTATGACAGGATTACAATAATGCACGACTGTATGCGTAAAAGGTGCACTCTGTAGTCCGATGGTACGGCAATTGGTCACGATTGAAGAGAGATCAAGCGCACGACCTAACGGCTTTACGTACTTTCCGAGGCACTTAGTTGAAACACCGCCAACTTACTAAAAGATTTCTTACTGAATAACGTAATAACTGATTTTGGCCCGACCCAAAATTCGAACCCGGGACCTCATCAGCAACCGCGTTTACGACCACTCGACCAACGAGACAGTCATCACCGCTACTACACGGTGTATGGTTATACATCAGCTTAATAAATCTACTGCTGAACATAGGAATTTTTAAGATCGGGCGAACTTGCATGCATTCCGCAGCTCACCACGCTAAGCGGGTGGGTTGGTGGGCGCGGCACAAGTAATTGAAGTCACCAATATATAATAGCAGTTGGTATTTGGGTTCATCAGTTTCGGTTTAAAGAATTTTATTTCTCGTAAGAACATACAATGGTTCACTTATACTGAGATACAAAATAATTATTATAATTTGATAATATTATCACATCTACCTCTAGTGCTGGAAGCGATATAGTCTTAGGTTATTCACTTATACATATTAGGTACCATGTGTTAAAAATATTACAATGTGCGTACGTATTTCCTAAGTTTACTTTTAAAAAATTTCATGTTGTTGTAGTTTTTAATGTCATCTGGTAATTTATTGAACAGTTTCACATGAATATACCGACATCTGTCTAAATTAATTTGTTATTAGGCAGGGTAAAACGTATGCAGGTGAAGCTGACACTATATAAGGTGATGGTGCTATTATTTGTCGTGAGTAACGGCGTAATAGCATCCCGTGTGTTAGGTATGGGCAAATAAAAAAAATCTCGATATATATCGTATCGATATTTTTAACCAGAATCGATATATATAGCGTGATAAATAACGATAAATCGTCATTATTTGCGTCATGTACTAGGATTAGGCCCAAAATTTACACATGAATGCTTTTGTAGCTTCATGTTTTGTCAAAAATCAAAAAAGTCAAAATATTAAAATATATCGAAATTGATACGAATTCGATACTCCAAAATAAATACCGATATATCGCGATTAAAAATCATAGGATTTTTAATCGCGATATATCGGTATTTATTTATCCGACGCGATAGCCGCTTCAGCAACTTCTGACTATATCATCAATTTTTATGTACTTAGCCATTATATAGACCTGTATATAGACTTCTAACAATTTATATACAGGTTCGATAAGCAACAAATAATATAAAAATGCATTTGTCAGAACTGCACCTTGTGGTTTAAATTTAAACAATTTCTTTACAACTTTGTCGACTTCTGACAGTCTTTAAGCCCCGACCTAGACTTCTGACAATAATTTTCCTAGATTTCTACAGTTAAAAACTATAACTGTACCAAATTTCAGAACTGCACCTAATCATTTTTTTTCTTATTGAAAATTTACGACTTTGACCGCCCACCCACGCCTTCCGTCCCGGGAGAGAGTTCTGACGGGCCTCGCTCTGTAATTATAAGCTACCAAGAAGAGGTTATATATATAATTCGTTAGTACACCTTATCAGTTCACGTTTTCGTAGCCAGCTCTCCGACTATTAGCAGCTGTTTTCATTTTCTAGAGTTCTGTTTGTGCAAATATAAAATTTATTTATTACTAGCAGAATCTCCGTGTAGTGGCGAGTAAGAATACCCATTATCCCATATCTTTCCGTGGGTGTCGTAAGAGGCGACAGAAGGAAACTGAGGCAGAAGATGGGCAGCAGCATCTTTCTGATAACAGCAAAAACAATAAAAAAACTGATATTGCCAACCCGCTCGTCAAGCGTGGCGACTATGACAATATACCCATGAGCAACGACAAAAATAAACGGCCCCAATCCCCGGCAACCCCGCTATTCCTGACTACGATGGCAACCAAGGTAACGGCAGGGCAGGGGGTGCTCAGAATCTCTGGTGGAGGTTCGGTTGCCACCTAAGAGGACTCGAACAGGCAAGATACAATGCACGCACCCTGAGGACTAACGAGAAGATCCTAGAGCTGGAACAAGAGATAGACAAGTTGCGTGGTAGAGCCATGCTGCAGGCATATTAGTAGTAGGTATAGTTGTAGCACCATTGGGTCCCCTCGACTGAGGAAGTACCACGCTCTCACAGAATACCATGGTAAAATAGCAGCTTAACGCTGCTGTGTTTCGTATGGTGAATGTAGAGAACCGGAGACCCCTTTTTACTGGAAACTAGGCATTACATCTTCTTAGTCCTCACGGGTGACAACTCATCTGCATTTTAATATGTAATCGAGAATAGATGTAGATATCTATGAGCCGCAGCAACCATTTACCATCAGGTGGACTGTGTGCTCGTTTGTCACCCTTATCCAAAAAAAAGTTGTACTGGTATATTATAGGATTATCTGAGATCCGAAGAGAGGGGGAGGACACGGTAATCCTCCAATCCGGCAACTTGTTCTATCACCAGGAGGGCGACCATTTGTCCCAAGAAGGTGTCGGATTATAAATCCGACACCTTCTTGGGACAATTGGTCCACAAGTCTTGTTAACAACGTTGTAAAGAGTGGGAGTTTGTCGGACGAGGGTTGCATACCTTATACTCAGAATCACCAAACGGTATTCGCTGAAGGTCATACAAGTTTACGCACCAAGCTCGGCACATCGCGATGAGAAGGTGGTGGAAATGTACTTATGAGGATATCTCTAGAGCCATGCATTCCTCCAAAACCCATTATACGTTGTTAATAGGAAACTACAACGCAAAACTAGGCACAAGAGAGGAGAATGAGCTGAAAATTGGGAAATTCGAAATAGTGCGACAGAACCCAAGGGGCCAACAGCTGGCCGACTTTATGAAGAAAGAGGGACTCTCTATGATGAACTCTTTCTTCAAATGAGAAAATTTCACAGAAAGTGGACCTGGTCGAGCAACGACGGTTCGACAAAAAATGAGATTGACTTCATTATGACAAGCATTGCGATTGATTGCAAGGCTGAAAACTGGCAGCGATCACCGAATGGTGAGAGGCACACTGAACCTAAACGTTTAGTTGCAGAGGTCAATGAAGTCAATGCTCCGTTCCCCTCGTGCTCTAATCCAAAGCCTCGAAAACTTTCAGCTCGAGTTACAAAATGTTTTCAATGCCTAGAATACTGCAATGAAGTAGACTATATGAATGACAAGCTTGTGGAAACTATCCATGCGGTCGAAGCTAAGTTCTGTAAGACCCGCCGCAGAAGAACACTAAAACTCTCCGATCATAATTAATCTCCTGGCTGTTAGACGGTGTATGAAGCTGCAGTCTTCAGCAGATTTGACAGCATATAGGCAACTGAACAGACAAATGCATGCGGCAGGACTTACGCAACATTAATACAGCTCGTATTGAAGAAGCGATCGAACGGAACCAGGGCTCCAGTCTTTACCAAAAATCTGTCCACCAGAAAGAGTCAATTGTCGAAGTTTAAAACCGAGTGTGACAGCATCGTTTCCGGGACACCTGAGATTTTGAGTTAGATTAAGAGGTTCTATGGGCAGCTGTACACGTCATCGTTGGAGCCACACGCAAGTGTGAGTAACGATCCAAGAGCGAGTCTTATCTGACACTATTCCGAAGATATCCCGGACGTCAGTCTGAGTGAGATTAGAATGGCTTTCCAGCACCTTAAAAACGGCAGGGGCCATGGTGAGGATGGAATTACAGCGGAGCTTTTGAAAACGGGTGAAAATCCGGTACTTGAAATCATTCAGAAGCTCTTTAATTCCGTCCTCCATGGTGGCACTACTCCGGAGGCGTGAAGCAGAAGTGCGGTGGTCTTGTTCTTCAAGAAAGGCGACAACGCTCTCTTGAAGAACTACAGACCGATTTCCCTTCTGAGCCGCGTCTACGTGCTGTTTTCGAGTCATTACGAATCGTCTCGCACGCAGAATTGAAGACTTCCAACCTCCCGAACAAGCCCGTTTCCGAAAAGGCTTTAGCACCATAGACTAAAAGATAGCACGTGGACTATGAGAAAGCCTTTGATTCCGTCGAAATTTGGACGGTGTGTTGTAATCTCCCGAACGCTGCCCTGCCGAGTCCGGAGTCCATTTTTTGACCTCTCGTTCGAAATTGGACTTACTTAGTCAGACTATTTGGACCCAGGTAAACACTTGTCAACAACTTTGAGCTTAGTGCTCCCAACAATTACCGGCATAGGTTTAACATGGACGTTACACATGACTTGTTTTGTCCATGTTCATTTTAAGACCTATTTGTTGGGAGACACTATTGAGGTCTTTTTTTATAGCAGTCACATACACCCCAAAAGAGGACATAGTCCACCTGATTGTAAGTGGTTGCTGTGACCCATAGAGATCTACATCTATCTTCAATAAAAAATCACAGTGCAGATGCATTGTCACCCATGAGGACTAAGACGGAATGCTTCTTTTCCAATAAAAAGGGTCTCAGATTCTCTACACTCACCATACGAAACAGCAGTGTTAAGGTGCTACTTTACGTTGGTATTCTGCGAGAGCGTGGTCCTTCTCGTTAGGCATACCTCAAAACCTCAAAACTAGATAGTACAACCGGTACATATTGCCAGTGATGATCTACGGAACTGAGACGTGGTCCTTCACTGCTGACCGTATGAGGAAGCTCAAAGTCGCTCAGCAAGCTATGGAAAGGGCTATGCTCAGGGTTTCTCTGCGTGATAGACTTAGAAAACGAGGATATCCACAGTAGAACCAGAATAACCGACATAGCCCTACGGATTAGTAAGTTGAAATGGCAATGGGCCAGCCATATTGCTCGAAGAACCGACAATCCATAGTAAAGAAAGGTTCTCGAGTAGCAGCCTCGTACCAGCAGTCAAAGTGTAAAGTGTCCCCTCCACTAGATGGAGTGACGACCTGGTAAGACATGCAGGAAGTCAATGAATGCAGGTGGCTCGGGACCGTGCTTTGTGGTGTTCCTTTGGGGAGGCCTATGTTCAGCAGTGTACTTGTGAAGGGCTGTAATGATTATTATGAGCAAAACCCAGCAGACCTGTCATTTTTCATGGCGATTGGTACCAGAGTGCCATCTAGTGGTAAGTTACAACAAAATGGATAGCCTAAAAATCTCGATGAAAGAATACATGAATACCTATCTGCTAAATTTCATGATGATTGGTAAAATGGGTTCAAAGTAGCACAGCACATACAGATATATCAACTAACACTTTTAGAAATATATTGTGCGACTATGAAGATGAGATTGCAAATGTGAAATCCATGGATCGCTAATAGCATTTAGGTGATAAAAATAATTCAAAAGTGTATTAAAGTACATTAGTGTCTTACTAAAGTAAAAGCAAAAATTATAATCTAACTGATGGAACACATTTTGTTTTTGTTTTGTGTTTATTTTTTCTACTTTTCATTATTTCGTTTTCTTAGTTTCTCCTTATAAACATATAAATGGTTTTGAAAAAGGTTTATTACTTATAATTCAAATTCACAATAAATTTAATAACAATATAAATTAATATTTGAAATTCTTAATCAAGTATATGGCTTCATTGTCTGCACCACAAAGAATTCTTCCTTTATCACAACTAATTGTATTTATGGGTTTATGTAGCGGTGGCATGAGTGAGTTAACTGACATTGTGTTTTTATCTTCGAGTGGCATCCAATTGTCAGAGGTCTTAGTGCTTTTTGTCATTGCTTCCATATTCCAATCCCACAGTTCCCCAGAAATTGAACTTGTGAGCAGTTTATTCGGATTTTCAGGGTGGAATTGCATCTCTGTAACTCCAGCTGCATGTGCTTTCAGCAAAGATGCAGGGAAGGAGTTAATCCGTAAGTCCCACACAGCCAAAGACCCAGATTCACTGCCAGCTAAAATATAATGGGGTTGTGTGGGATGATGAATAATACATGTGGCTGCTAATTCATCACCTGCGAGTAGGAATGATGCGGCCGGTTTATTATTTGGAGACCGGAGATCCCATATCTTCATATGGCCTCTAAGATTTCCAGTTATCACCTGTAAAGATGTGTGTGTGGTTAAAGTAACAGCCTATGTACGGGACTTATAACTGAGCGCAGGTCTCCTTTTAATTTTGAGAGGACTAAGGAGCAATTGGTAGTCCGCTCCGGTGCTCTAGGGCATTATGTATTTGTTTTTTAATAATTTCAATATTGTAAGTCAACAATAAAAGACAAATGGCTGGTTTTACCACACAGGCCCATTACAGGATTAGTTTAGATACCTGCATTGCTTAATAGCAAGAATGCCTGACTATGCTGTGAATTCTAGGTTCAAACCCCTACTAGAATCAACATCAGTATAAAGACACTAATCTTTGGTTTTAGAGTCTAGTTAGTAACTTAATATATAAACTAGTATTAGGTAAAATATAACTCTCCAATGAAAAATGAAAGAAACTTACAATGTTATTATATTGTTGCGCGCCACTATTAATACCACTACCACCCTAGTAGTAGTCCACTACTGTCTAGTATCAAGTAGCAGAACTAGGAGAGTCAAGAACCTTCTAGAAATTTCCATGGAAGAACTTTCTGGAACTATCGACACCTAGTCAATTGGGACCGATATGTTCTCGAACATTCTAGATCTTTCTATAGTAGAAGGTTCTGGAAACTATCTGAGGCCCTATACAAGGCCGGTATAGACAGCAACCGAGTCAGTATTGAATTGGCGATACAAGCAAGTACTTCGAACCAATACAACTGCGAACTAAAGTGATCAATAGTACAATTGTATTTTATTATCAGTGTGGTTTAAAGTTGTAATTAGTGTTCTGTAATTAAAGTGTCAATTTTGGCAATTCAATCGACAGTTTTTAATTGTCTCGAACCCCAAGCTCGTAACAATATCATGAACATTAGATTGGGCATGGGATGGTTAAGACAAGTGTGCCTTTGTGGTATGCATTTATTAGCACACAATAATATCTCTGTACTGAAGCAAGCTTTCCATGATGCTTCAGTGGCGCAATGGCTCAGCATTGAGTTTCTGTGCCGAGGGCTGTGGGTTCGAATTGCAGATGGCATAAGTTTGTATAATCTACAAATAATTATTGCTGATCTGAATGTTTGTTATTGTGCAATTTATGTATAAGTACAATGCATCCATGACACAGGAGAAAATCCAAGTGTATGGTAATGTTTTAAAAACAAGATATTATTAAAGATTATTAAGATATATTTTATTGTATTGTAAGTTGTTACTGATGTTGAAAATCAGCCTGAAAGACTTACTTTTTTTTGTAATCACAATATTTAATGCTCAACTTATTAAGGTATTGTTAGTACAAACATAATGCCATGACTTATAATACAATAGCAACTTAAAAGTGTGTTGATTACCTCATTGTGCTTAAAGAAACATATTGAATGTAAAGAACAACTGTCTGCTCCGGTGATGGTTCGGGTGATATCCCCTGTCCTGCTACTTAGTGTGTTTACATTGCCATCTTCTCCTATGGTGGCTATGTCCCCTTCCATAGTGTCTAGCGAGGTACATGAACATTGTTCATCACTAAAAAGTTAAAACATATTGTCAACAATGACAAAAATTATACATATTACATTTAAAGAATACCTAAAATATATTTACTAGTTTCTTGAATGAATTCTCTAAGCTATAATTATTATGGCTTATGTCACATTTATTTATTGTTATACTACTGACATTTCGAGTACTTTGTGGCCCTCATGTTGTGTGACTGAAAACTCTACAAGGTAACATGCTGGGACCATTATTGTTCCTTATACACGGCAAAGATTTACCTCACCATTGCATGTTGTTCTTTCATGATACAACAATTATTGTTAAAGGATATGACAGATTCCCTTCTAAATGCAGTGAATTCTGCATTTTGACTTATCAACTTTGATTTAGACCTATTGAAATGGTATATTCTAAGCCAGATGATACTTTGTTATTACACTCACACACATCTTTCTACTTTCTTTATCATCTAGCAAAATTTCACAGCTGGATGCATTGGATATGGGAGGATGATTTTTTACCTGTCTACATCATGTGGGGTATCACTGGATAGGTCTTTCAAAAATACTGGGGATATGATCCAGGTGTCCATTGCAACATTTACACAATAGTAGTATATATAATGAAGTTATAATTTAAAATTAAAAAAAATTATAAAAAATTATATGGCACCACATGAGAAGCACCAGCTTTCAAACAAAAAAGAATCAGTGAAATAGGTTCACCCAGAAAAAAGTTATAGAGGTAACACACATAAAAAATATCTTTTGAAGTCAGTAGAAAAGGAAAATTATCACAGCCCTTATGACCTAAAACTAGTTGCATTGTAACTTTGTAATGTTATGGTAAACTATTAAAAATAAATATTTTATGAAGAAAATGACTTATATGCATTACTACTATTAGCTTTACTTTTTCATTTGTGAGATAGATAGGGTATTATTTTCAAAATCGAAAAGGTTTTTTGAATACCACTCCCTATAAGTTTGATTTGAAAATGATTCCAGTTACAAACTTCCTATTTAGGCCCATTTTAGTCGTAATAGTGGTCAAACCACGAACTTATTGTGCTCATTATCAAGAATGCCCACGTATTGTGACTGGCAACTATGGAACCCTACCTCTACATAGTGAGTGACCCAACACATACTTGAACAAATAGTACAGTAAACAGTAGAAAACACCAATACATGGTCCTGTTTTATAATATAAATTATCTAATATGCTCTACAAAAAAAATCAATGAAATTAAGTATTACCCAAAATTGTGTAATTTCTTCCAAGAAAACGTTTCCCTGAGCGGTGTTTGTCGATTGTACGAGCTAATTTCAAGTAATCTTACATTTCCGTCCGACGTTGAGACTGCAATTGTATTCTTATCTGTGAATTTTATTTCTGTAACATCACCATCAACTTTGTATTCAGAAAGTTGTTTAGGATATTCTACATCCTCATCTTCATTGATGCGTTCGAAATTCCATACTTTTATTGAATTTACTTCATCGTCCCAACTTCCAGTAAAAAAACATTTAGTTTCTACATAATCTTCGGGAATCCATCGTATTTTATTAATTTTTTGAGACACAAAAGTACCTTGAACGTCGAGCGGCATGTTTGGATTTGGCACGTTGATATTTAACTAACAGCTTTATTTAATACTCTGTGAGCTTTACTTGCAATATTATCATTTAGGAAATTTAAATATATTCACAACTAATGTAATATATTATTCTTCACAAACTTTTATGAATATTATTACAGTTATTTATTATTTCACCATGTCGTTCGAAAGTTGAAACAAAATTGTAAGTTATTAAATTAATTGAATTTAGTAATTCGTAAGTTCATGTTGTATTTGTATGCTTGTATTCGTAGACTGGTATACAGTAATCTGTGGCTTGTATGTCAATAGAGGTGTGACCAAACAGTATTGTAACTGTCCTATACAGAATGTGACTAATATAGTCGTATTAGGTATACGTAATAGGTATACGGCAGAATTTTCATATTAGGTAATACGAATGTTCTCATACTAGGTTACTCAATAATAACCAGTCAAATAATAGTTAATAGTGAGCGCCGAACGCCTAAGGGTATTAGTGTTCTGTGGACGAACGCGACGTTTTGCACGCATCGTACCTATTCTTCGCGGTAGCAAGACGCGACAAATTGATTTCAGACATAAAACTCATTTATAAAGGAAAATATTTCTGCTGCGTTGTTGTCAACTGTCAAATCCGACTACAAACAATTATTTATCAATATGGAATAAATCCAGGGAAGTAATGTGATAATTTTTTATTTATAGAGTAAAGTGCTTTTATTTAGGCCGTAAATGATTGTTTCAGGGAAAGCTGCGGGGTACAGCAGCAATTAAATATGAAGTTATTTAATTGCTGCTGTAATATGTTATAAATATAAAGATTTTTTATGAATATCTCTGCTCCACTATATTCACAGCCGGATTTCCTACAGCGTCAAAATTGTGCCGACGGTAGGCTGTATAAAGCTAAAAGGGGTTTAAATATACATATTAAACGATGCCATAGTAAAAGTATTTCGGCTTCACAGCCTAGAAATTCATAACTCTTTTAGCAATTCAACTAATGACACAATATTTTCCCTTTTTTCGGAGCAAATTTACAATTATCATCGTAATGTACCAGTGGTTAAAAGAATTCCTAGAGGTGCGAGGATGCAGCTTGCTAAAGCATTGTCATGCACTATTCAAAATTGTTTCACGAATAGTGAAAATAGTTGGCAAAAATTATTTACTTTCGCATATTCCCATTTTCATTTTGATAAAACAATAAATAAATCAATTACGTCTCAACTAAAAGAGACATCTTTTCAAAATTTAGATTACCCAATTAATACTCATTTATCTCGACCACGTCCTAAATTTGATTTAAAAAAGTAGTAGAGTCGAAAGTAATGGATGGCGACTTAAAAAATGCATCCCGTATTTTATTCTCAGACGACTTCCTGGCTCCTCGTAATGTCGAAACTCTTGAAAGCCTTCGTCAGAAGCATCCTTCGGTCAAACCTTCTCAGGGTTTACCGCTGCCTCCCAAGACTTCTATGCAACCTTTACAAATTTCTGAAAAAGAAACTTTAGAAGCAATTATGTCATTTTCGAATGGCTCTGCTGGCGGCATTGACGGAATTACGCCTCAACATCTTAAAGATCTTGTAAGCGCTTCTGCCGGTGACGCCGGCGGAGTACTTCTTAAAGACATTACAAAATTATGTAACTTTATGCTTTCTGGTAATGTTAATCCAAATTTCATTCCATTCTTATATGGGGCAAGATTATGTGCCTTCAAAAAGAAGGATAACGGTATTCGTCCTATTGCCGTTGGTTCTACATTTCGACGCTTAACTTCAAAATTAGCTTGCAGATACATAATCTCTAACCTTAAGACCAAATTTCAGCCTACTCAACTAGGCTTTGGCACTAGAGGTGGATGTGAGGCGGCGGTACATTCAGTGCGTACATTTTTATCAAACTCTGATGCAGATGTTCTTGTGGAGGTTGACCTAAGGAATGCTTTTAACTCTATCGATAGGGTAACCTTGCTGAAAGAAGTGGCTAATAATACCACCGAAATTTATCATTACGTTTGGCAATGTTATAGTCAAAATACTAACTTGTTTTACGAAAACCATGTTATCGATTCTGCTGTCGGTGTTCAGCAGGGTGACCCACTAGGTCCAGCACTTTTTAGTTTGGGAATTCAACCCATTATTTCAAATTTGAAATCCAAACTGAATGTCTGGTACCTGGACGACGGTACACTGGGAGGTAGAGCAGATGACGAAATTTTAAAAATATTGGTCTTGAAGCAAATAGCAATAAATGTGAAATATTTTTTTCCAATAATTTATCTACTTCTCATAGAGACAGTTTAATTCAAAATTTCAATCATGTTTCTCCAGGAATAAAAACTGTCAGTACGGAATCACTATACCTGCTAGGTGCCCCGTTGTTTTTCGATAGTATTAAACCTGTTTTAAAAACAAAATTTGATCAGTTTTTAAACCACGTTGATAAATTGTATAAATTAAACCCCCACATAGCTCTTACTATTTTAAAATATTGTCTCCTTGTACCTAGATTTACATACTTACTTCGCCCGAGTCCAGTCTGGAAATGTTCGGATATTTTAAAAGATATTGATAATGATCTTAAAATAGCTATAGAAAAAATTCTAAATTTAACTTTAAATACAGCAGCATGGACTCAAGCTACTTTACCTATAAAATTTGGTGGCATTGGTGTGAGAAATCTTTCTAGCGTTGCGTTGCCTGCTTTCCTTCCTTCCGTGCATAGTGTCAGTGACTTATGTAATATAATTTTAAATAATAAAGTAGACCTATGCTTTGCTACAGAGGCAGGGCAGACATGGCAATCGCTCTGTCCCAGTGAAAATGTTGCACTGGAAATTAACCAAAAAAAACATTGGGATATTCCGTTGGTATGGGGCGTGCAGAAAGATTTGTTTCATAATTTCCATAGTGACCAAGATAAGGCACGCCTTCTAGCTGTTTCGACTAAGGAATCTTGTCACTGGTTACACGCTTTACCATCATATAATATCGGCACATTACTTGATGGGGAAAGCTTGCGTATTGCCGTAGGAAACCGACTAGGAGCGGCGCTTTGCCAACCCCATGAGTGCCCCTGTGGTAGCAGCTTCGACAAGTTTGGGCTTCACGGACTTTCATGTAAGAAAAGCGCTGGTAGGTTTTCACGACATAAATCTTTGAACGATGTCATCCGAAGGGCTCTTGTCTGCCTTTTGATAACCCGCATTGTTTTTAATAATTTGAAATGGTCTCTTTTTACCCTTTTTAAAGAATGCAGGATTATAGTCACATTCTGTCACAGCGTGAAATCCTGGCAGACTTGTACAAAGAGTTGTCCCTAATTCAAGATATAATTGAGTAATATTAATTACTCGTTTCTTGTTTACAGCTCCATATTCCATATAAATATTTATGTTATCACTTTTTAAATAGTCCATATTTCCTAGCATAATAATTAATACATCTGTATCACATGATTTGACAAGTACATTGGCAGCAGAATCCGATTCCAATTGACAAACATGATAATGGTTATAATTTTTTAAGATTTATTTAAATACTAGTTGTTCCCCGCGACTTCGCCCGCGTGTAATTTAGCATTTTTTTTGCGCGGAACCTTAATAATATTTCTAAAATAAAAGTAGCCTAAAATACTCGTTATAACATCAACTATCTGCCAGTGAAAGTCCCGTCCCGTGAAAGACAGACAGACAAACAGACAAAAAATTTAAAAATTGTTATTTTGTTATAAATATCGTATATAATATCATATGCGTTTAGTAAAAAATTGTTATTTTGACATTAAAAACAGACACTTAAATTTTATTTTATTTATTTATTTAAGCTTTCATGCACAAAGTTGTACATATGGCGGACTTAATGCCATAGGGCATTCTCTCCCAGTCAACCATTAGGCTAAACAGAGATATACAAACAAGAGGCGGTGCAGCAGTAATCAAAATAGAAAGCGCTAAAAGAAAAAAAAATTGTATATACATATATACATATAAATATACATATACACACACATACATAGACATATATACTTAAATACACACAATATATCTACACTACTATTATAAAGAGGAAAGATTTGTTTGTTTGTTTGTTTGTTTGAATTGAATAGGCTCCGAAACTACTATACCGACTTGAAAAATTCTTTCACCATTAGAATCCTACATTATCCCTGATAAACATAGGGTATATAATATTTTCAATAAAGTTAGGGATCCGTATGAAAACTTCGTTAATGTAACCCAAGGTGTGAAAAAAATACCAAAAAGAATTCTTATATCGCGTACGCTGCGGAAACTATTGATAATAGAGCAAAGTGATGTACTACACTTTTATAGATGATATCAATATCTACAAAAAAGTCTGCGATAGCATAAGTTTAACTATTACAGTTATGTCACAATAACTACTTTTTCATATTAAAATGTGAAATAGTAACGCCGGTACCAACTAGGCCACATTATTCGTATCAGTACCTGTATCATGCATAACCACCAATTACGTTTACCATGTAATTTTAGTAACATATTTCACTTTTTAAATCTTTGTTAATTCAGCAACCGTCCGTCGTGATGTTTCTCTCGAAGTTCGCATGTCGCAAGGCACAGACGCGTGATATACGCGGGTGAAACCGCGGGGCACAGCTAGTACATATATAAATACATACATACACATATACACGCATACACTACATATATACACAATACTTATAAATATTATCTATGTCAGAACAAATATGAAATATACATGTGTATGAAAATAAAAGCTATGTTAGTTCAAACTCGCAACAATTTTTTCACATGCTTACGGACTTGATTTTTAAAAATAAACTTGTTGGAAGCTTTTTTAATGTCAAGAGGGATGTCGTTCCAGATTCTGATGGCCGTGAGGGTGAAAGATTGAGATAAATAACCAGTACGGTGTAAAGGAGTGAGCAACTTAAGATAAGCCGATGAACGGAGAGAGCGATTATGAGAATCTCCCAGGTATTGAAATTTTGATTTCAGA